CTCCTTATAATAAAGAACAACAGAGAATAAGAAGGAAATCCTTCATTGGAGAGCAGATAGGGAGACGATGATGGGTTTTGGGACCTTACGTAAGATAAAATATTCATCAAATATTCTTGCTGGGTTATTACGTGGGCACTCCTACACCAGAAGCAGGAACTATGCCAAATAATGGCTGAACAGCTTGAGTGCTTAGCGGTCTATATTCTTTTTGATTCTAATAACATTTACTTAAAAGATCTTGATCTGGGCACGAATTTGACAGACCCTACTTAATGCTTGAACTCTACAAAGGTGGTGTAAACAAAATTCTAAACATTTATTACATTATATTACTCAAGGAAATGTTTTAAGAGTGTGTTTCTGTAACCACAAAAGTTAGGTTACGATGTATTCAGAAGGTGAATATTCACCTGGTGCCAAATAAGGGATCTCCCTCTTTAAAAATTGCGTCTTGGTAGTCCTGGGGACACGAGATGGTGACCCCCATTGTAGTTGCAGATTGTTGTTCCTTAACTCTCTAGATTATTTATATATGACAAGCAAACACAAAAAGTGTTTATTTAAAAAGTCTTCAAGATTGCCCAAAAGGCAACTTGGTTTGTTTGAGACTTGTGAATCCTCAATAGATTGTATCCTGAAATTTAGCTTTTAAAAATATATATGTTTTTTTTTAACTCTCCTGGATGTCATTGTGTACTTCGCACACTGGCTGTTAAGTATGCACGGTTACATAAGACAGCTGGTTACATAAAATGTTGGGAGCGTGAGTGAGGAGGTTATCCTAAGTGTGGCCAGAGGCAAATCTAAGATTAAGATTAGGGTCGGGAATTAGGGTTAGGGATTCTCAATCGGTTTGGGTCATGGGGGGACGCAGTGAAACTGAAACTAAATGATCATTTGTAGGAAACTAATTCTCTGTAAATTCTGGCAAATTCCTTCCTACCTACTGACAGTGAAGGGTCCTATCAACAGCACACTAGCCTTGCAGTAGTGGATAGAGGGAACTCCTCTGTTCTTTCTTGAGTCTGAAGAGAGTGAAACCAGAGTTTAATTTGGTAAACAAAGTTAGGCTGACTCCCCGCTCTCAGTTCATCAGCTACCTGCTGAGGTGTGTACAGAAGGCTGCTAGTGAAGTGCTCATAAGGTGTCTATGTAATAACATACAATTGCAATGAGAGTGACGTGGGGTTTTGGTGAAGGTCTTGGGTACATGTAACTTCTGTAATTTGTTGTTAAAGAGTGTGCAGGTGCAGGCGGCCATTGGTGTAAAGTTGGCCCGTCTTTTACGCTGTCTTCCATGACATGTCTTGACCTGCATATTTCATGTTTATAGTTTTTGGTTGGTATTGGTTCCCTTTGTTTGTCTCCTCAGCATTGGGGTACCACAGGGTTCGGTACTTGGCCCATTCTTTTCTCCATTTGCACTCAAAACTGTAATGCATTCATTGCTTCTCTTAAAGTATTTTGCTTATCTCAGCACATCTCATTTCCTCCTCTCTGCCTCTCCACCTATGATCTTTCAGTTGATCTCATCATGCCTTTCTAACATATCAAACTGGATGCAGACTCACTCAATTTGATAATAATCTTGATTCTCAAGCCTGATCTGCTCTTCTTCTGAGCCTAGTACTCCCCTTAATACATCTCTGTCAAAGGTCATACAGTCATCTCTACCAGTTCCCTAAAACAGTAGGAGTCACGCTAGACTTTGCTGACCTCTTTATGGAAACTGGCCATTTGCAATGATATATGGTCTGGAATTCTGCCTTTTCTTGGCTCAAACTTTATTAAGCTGCTCATTTAGGCAGTAGTTATTTGATGGCTAGGCTAATACAACTCACTTCTTGCTGACCTACTTGCGTCTTTCAAAAGCCCCCCAGAAAACTGGAACTTGACCTGTGTTTAACCTCCATAAATTCTCTTATGTCAAGCCTCTGCTCGGGTCTGTACTTCAGCTCTCATTAATTGCAAGAATTACATTAAAGTATCTGACCTGCAATGCTAATGTCTAATTTACTATTTTGTCATTTAGATTATTCTTCTATCCAAGGGGATTTAAAATACACCTGTAGCAACTTGGGAAGGGATTGCACAAATGTGGTAGTTCATGATTCAACACTTCGGGAGTTTTAACCTACAATGTTTTTGTTACAAACCAAGCTCTTTAAATACTAGGCTACATCATCCCAGTGGCGCAAATAACTTGCAGCCCTACAACCTTCAAACACTCTATCATCCATCTCTCCCCACAAAGGGTTTCTGCTTGTCCAGGTCTAGAATTCTTTAAAGTCATTACTCAAAGTACAAGTTTTACATGTCACATGATCAGTTGAAATAGCACTGAAATGTTTTCACACATTTGCGTTGGGTCTCCACAATATGGGTGTACGTGGAACGACAATAGTGTGTGGGTGAAGGTTTCACCTTCACTGTACAGTATGTGTGTTTGTGTGTGTGCTTTTGTTTGCCCCTCAGCCAAACTGCCTTTATCTGGCATGGTGGGAAGTTGTTAGATCGTTAATCAATGTCAGAAGAGCAACATGCCCAATGGCGTTTCTCATCTCAAAGGAGAGTGCTGCCATGTGGCTGTGTCATAATGGAAATGTATGGGCAGCCATTGATGGGCGAATGCAAGGATTAGTCAGTATATTATGTTAAAGCTGAGCCTCAAGATTCCTGTCTCATAGAACCTTTTGTTTATCATTCAGTCATGACCAGAAAGCATTTATATATCTCCTGGATAGCCTCAACTTCAGATGTGCTTTCTTGGCCTAGTTTCGAGGAACAAGATGTGGCCTGTAGAACAGATCTATGGTCAGATGTACTGATATGAATGAATTGTGTGCTGCAAAGAGACACACCTGGGGTTTCTGTACAAAGATTCCTGGATGGTGTCAGCTTCTCAAAAAGTTTAAGACGTTTTAGAAAGTATCAGGGACACTTAAAACAGTACAGAAATGAGTACAGAAATGATGCAGATCAGTCCTTCACATTACTCTATATCTGCTGCAGTTGTTGCACTGAGGCCCTATCTTCCATTTTCTGTTCGTCACAGCGTGCCGTGGCGCTCTGGCCGATCTCCAGAGAGAGATATTCGTCGCATAGAATGCTGACACAAGGAGGAACTGTCCTCAAGAAGGAGGAGAGGAGCGAGAGAGAGTCTTGGCTTGTGTGTGCTGGCTGATATCGGAGCTGTCAGTCAAACAATGAACAAACTCTATCCTGGGGACAAAAAGAAAACTTCACTCACGCTCCTTCCTAACTTCCTCCACATCCTTATCGCTATAAATCAACTCCACTGTTTTTCAAATTAGACATTTTCATCCTTGAGTTAAACACACTGTCCGTGCCAATCTGCATCCACATATTAGTAGTCTTTATCCTAAACAGGTCTTCCTATGTGAAAACCTAAATATTTTCTAAATTGACTAGCTGGTTGTCTGAACCCTGAGTTTTGTGTAATTTTGCAGACTCGGGGTCATAGACAGACTTGACAGCGAGCAGACATGTTTCTTAATGAGTGTTGACATAGTTCTTCTGTTTGAAAACATTTGGACTGAATGCAGCAGAATTCAACTGAATGCAGAAGTCTCAAGATAAAATCATTCAAATTTGGACTATTGGAATACGGTGTTAAAATTTTACAGCACTGATTTGGTCGGTCAGGTCACAAGGGCTTTTTTACGAGCTGGTTTAAACCCTTTCACATTACTTTTATTATTGTTACAACCCTACGCATTCAGATTTTTGTCCATTGTCCATCAGTATTTGTCCATTGCATTGCTTCGTGTGCTGTTTTTTGTGCATCCATAAGAGTTCAGGTTAAAAAGAATTCCTCTTACATTCTTCCAATCTTCCATAACTTCACTTACATTCAAAAACAGCTGGATGGAGCACAGCAGAATGTAAGAATGTGCCTTATATAAGCACCCATATAAAACCATGTCCAGTCAGGGTGGAGTGAACTTAAAAACAGCCTAATTATACAGAGCTTTCTTAAAGGAGCTGTATGTAAGATTGTGGCCAAAACTGGTACTGCAATCACTTTCAAATTACTGTAGAGCTGTGTATCCCCTCGCCCTCCTCCCTGACTCGAGGTTGCCAGATAGGCTGCAGGATCCAGCAGGAATTTATCCGGCACGTTTGTAGCTGCAGCTGTGGTAACTAGAGCAGAGCTGGCAACCCGGATGCCGCAACACTACTGACTTCGTGATTGGTAGATAGGTGGAGGGTGGCGCATCAGACCAAAACACAACATGACAACATCAACATCAGTTGAGGGCTGCAACTTCACTTTTTAAATGACAATATGCTGGCCGGACAACTGTTGTCAGTGATATAAGTATTTGAAATGAACATGATTTCTTTAATGTCTAGTGACATATCAGGGCCATTTTATGATGAATTGAAATCAATTTCTCACATACGGCTCCTTTAAGAATAATTAGTCAACTAGTCGTTAAGGCATCCGATTTTGAAAATATACACATTCCTAGAGTTTAGGGTCAATATAACGCCCATGCAGACCTCTATCATAGATGGCTATAGAGTCTCTGGTTCCTAATGACTTGACTGTTACATGGTGCTTTGATAGATAAGAGCAGTCAAAACCAGACTGCTGTGCCCATAGCTGCCCTACACATATCCATATTCTTTGCTTTGTATTTTTTTCTACACATTTGTACTTTTTGCTAACAATGTTTCATTTGCCTTTTCTTGTTGAGCGGGCTTCTCTTCTCCCTGTAGTGTTTGAAGTGGAGATGATTTTACTTTCAGAGGTGTGCACGCCACCCCCAGTTATATTTATCTCCAGACTTCAAAGTGCCACCCTGCTGTGTTTTTGCATCTGAACAAATAAAGAAGGTTGTTTCTCCAGTGTAGTCTTCCATATGGCTCTCTTCCGAAATGAACCAGCCAAGGGGAACAGGAATCACTTGTTCAAATAGAATCATGTTAACCAGTTTTCTCTCTTTCTTTTTTCTCTTTTTTCTCTACAGTTTCTCCTAAAAAGAAACTCCAGAACTCCTGAGGAAGGATGACACCCATGGCACATTGGATAGGACAGTGCCTATGGGCATCTGTGTCACTCACATGCCAAGCTTGAAAAGTGGAAAGAAAGACAGTTTTAGCAGACACGTTGAACACTTCCAAGCTTTAGAGTGAAACTTTGCACAGTTGGCCATGGCTGCATATCCATGGCTTGGAGGATAGGGTCCCTTGTTTAGCAAGCATTTTCACCACAGTGAGTTTTGTAACTGGTCATTTAGCAAATCCACCACTTCCTCTGGCCAGGAGGACTTTAAAGAACAACTGCCATACATGAGCTGAACCAGAGGATCCAAAATGGAGGTCACACAGCAACACTCTTTCTACTGGACTGGTTAAAGCAGCAGATAAAAGCATTACTGCAAGGGCAGTATGCAGGCAGCTGACTACCCAGCCACATATAATAACACAGGTAAGAATCACTTTACCCCTTGATGGGTGCACTAAGTAAATGAAGTTTCTCCTTAAAGTTTTACACATAAATAAATTAATATTATATATGAAATATTCAAATTGATGTACAATTGCATCTGATTAAGACTCCACATCATTTATCACTTTTATTCTATATAAGGTGAGTCCTTGTAGTTGCTGCCATGATCACATAATCAGTCAGTTACTTCCCAGTTCAACTTCCCGGTTTTTTATCTACAACAACATTGATAAATAGGAAATCTCCTATTCATGTGTGTAAATTAGGTCCAATTGAGTTACACCAAATCATGTTTTAAACTGAAAATCATCTAATCTCACTTGAAATTAAGAATTTCCATGCAATACCAGCAAAATAGCTTCAAAATAACAAAAAAAAGTGGTCTAAATATTAAAACATGTACATATACTGTATGTCCTCTGTGGAAGTCTCAGGACCAAAACATTTTCATCCAATCATTGCATTCGGTCCGAATGATATGATGTCTGACCTGCCTGTCAACGTATGCATTTCCATACCTCTGCAGTGCGCACACCCTGCTCTCGCAGACCTCACACGTCATCAGCACATTTCATGAGGCTATGCATAGTTTTAGACAGACAGTCACTGAGCGCCACAAACAAACAGCAGCCACCTTTTACAGTTCCTCCTGAACCAAAAGACAAGCTTATGGTACGTAACCGTAATTACAAGATGGATTGACGTTCTACTCTGAGCTTTTCACGTCCTCATACACAGCTTTTTGCGTTTCTATGTCAACTCTATCAATGCCGAAATGAATCTGCAGCAGTCAGGTGGTACAAGTAAGAGCTCTTTAAGTTGTTTACGTTCATTATTATTGTAATGTTATGTGCTTTGAGCCATGAGGTCATTTAACGGCATCTTTTGTAATGCTTTGCTGACTTCTGCTATGCGCGTTCATGTGTTTTGGAGGAGGCGTGACTTTAGTGAGCGCTCTGAAGGGAGGGTAGGATCTAATGCTTTCAAAGCTAGCTTGCTATTGCTAGCCTCTCCGAAATTGCACATCACATCTTTTTAAACTGCAAGGAGTCACTATCATGTTAGGAGGTTGTGTTTCACAAAAATCAAAAAAGAGAATGTTTTCAGAAAATGAAACTTCTGTCTTTGTCCGGGGCCAGCCAAGTGCTGACACTGAAAATACTCCAGGATCCAGTTTTTAATATCAGATGTGGAATTTGAACTTGGAGTGGAATTTGGACCCATACATCCAAAAATTCCTGAGAGACCTGAGGTAGAGGATATTGTTTTAACAACTGGATGGCCCCCAAGCTGAGCCGGGGTCACACTGTTCTGCTCTTTATTCATCATGGAGAGAAATGAAAAACCAGAACATTCTGTTCAAAAGCATGTGATGGGCTCTCCAGCTGAGGGGGAAGAGCGCCGGCCCACGGTCTTAAGCAACCTGTCAGTCAAAGAAGTCACAACAGAATGAAACGTTTAAACTAGCAAAACCAAACAAACATTACAAAGCTGGTTTAAAATTGAACACAAACAAAGTTTGCACTAAAATCAGAATCAGAAACAGCTTTATTGTCAAGTGTGCTTGCACACACAAGAAATTTACCTTGATATTGAAGCTTCCAGTATACACATATAATTATAACAATGGCGCATACTAACATTTTAGAATGAAATAAAAAAGTATAAAGACATAGATGGGTGTAGTCAGAATAAACATATTCAGATATAAACATATTGACATAAACATAAATATATTGACATTCTGTCATAAATTTCTCACCTTCATGTCGTTCTAAACCTGTATGAGTTATGTGGAGCTCAGAAAGAAATTCTGCAAAATGTCAGACCTGCTCTTGAAAAGTAGTTTGCATTACTTGTGTGCTGTATTCATTTTTACGCTAAATTCAAACATGGCATTAACCCACATCACCTATAGAAAAGCTTCAGTTTTCCATATTTGAATAAACTGGAAAAAAAAGATTAATTTTAATTTTAGGGAACAACTTTTGTTGCATGGAAAAGAGCAGCTTGAACCAAATATCTTCTCTTGTGTTCCATGCATAAAGGAAATTTAGGTTTGAAGGACATAGGGGTGAGTAAATGTCAGAATTAATTTTTTGTGAACTATTCTTTAACATAAGTTTAACTAAAATACAGAAATGACAATATTTTATTGCTTTAAAATATTCGATGGAGACAAGCATAGTAACGAGACTAGCATTGAAGCTTAGTAAATCTTTTTATACAAATACTACCCATCACAATCCAAGTATCATGTAGTTAGATATACGTCACTGGCATTGTTCAGTCAAGTCACTTTTCTTTTAATATCTGTTAAAGGTCATTTGATCCTAATCAAAGAAATGTATGCTGCCACTGTTTTTGTGTCAATATGATTTGATTTAATTTGCTCATGATTTTGCCTAGCAACAGAGACTGAAACTACTGATGCCTGTGCTTGCTCTCCCTCACACACACACACACACACACACACACATGCGCGCGCACACACACACACACACACACACACACACACACACACACACACACACACACACACACACACACACACACACACACACACACACACACATTCTTCATGAAGAAGGAATTGTGTTGGTGTTTCATGGCAGAGGCGTTTTGAGTGTGGACAGCTTCCAAATCGATTCCCGTCATTCTGTGAGCCCACAGCACACAGGCTTGCGTAGGGAGATTCAGATAGGTTGGGGGAGTTTACCGTGGGCTAAATGCCGGGGAATACGGCGATACTAAACAAACAGGGTGGGGGAGATTGGTCACACTTTATATTAGGTGTCCTTAAATAAAAAAATTAGTACAATGTAGTTATTGTGTTGATGTTGTATTGCAAAACACTTTTGCTGCTATTGAGGTGGGATATGGGTTAGGGACAGGTTTGCGTAGGTTTACGGGTCGGTTAAGGGGTAAGGGAAGGGTCAACAGAGTAATTGCAGATGTAATTGCAGAGATTAATTACAGCTGTGATTACATGCAGGTATTTTAAAATAATAATATAAGTAGGCTACATTGTATAAACATATGCGTACACGAGTGCATCGTATCAAAATATTAATTTAAATGTTAGTACATATAGTTAAAGACAACTAATAATTCTGGGACCACAAAAACAATTGATACTTGCAAGGTTAAACTCCAGTTAGCAGTGCTTGTTTTTATAGGTTTTGAGCCATTGCGATGGACTGACCTATTTAAACGCCCCTACTAATTACATGCACTTTAAATCTAAAGTTAAAGGTGTCAGAGTCTGACAAAATTAGCTTAATAGTTTTCAACTTTAAAAACAGACCATCACACCAGCTATATGTAGTACAGCGTCTAGCCCTTGTCTGTTTTACATTTAACTGAAATGTTAATAAAGTGAGAACATATTGCGACGGCTGCTCTGTCTCGCACTTTTTGACTGGGTTCTGCTATGCACGCACACTTAATTATCCAAGCTCAGCCGGCGGAGGTCATTCTCTTCTCACCACGACACACACTGCTCCCCCTCAATGTGCTGGGGAATTTGGCGCAGAAAATTTTCGCAGGCTTCCTCGCTCTTATTTTCTTTTCTTAATAAAGGAGCCAAGACCTGGAGGCGGCGACAGACACAGACTGAGGGAGAAAGACAGGGAGGGGAGTGTTGAAAGTGACAAAAGATATAGCGTGATGTGTGGGAGACAAGGTCCAAATAAGATTAAAGGTATTAAGAACAAAACTCATTTCGCAGCCTTGGAGGAGAAATCCAGCGGAGAGGTACACAAGACTTATGTAATGCAGCAAGACATCTTATCCAAAACTAGACGGGAAAGTAGCCTATCAAAATACATAATATCTAATTCTGGCTAATTATGTTTTTTTTTTTTTTTTTAAAGGTAGTGTGTGTAATTCCTTTTGACTTTCTCCTATCCCAGTTTAACACGCAGAGATAATTATCAGTAAAGCCGTTTGTAGGCGGATTTGTAAATACAGAGGCACTGTGGCTCAAAACACTACTCTGTTTGTTTGAGGATCCTACATAGCTTTACATAGAAACTTGGTGTGATTTGGGGGCGGGACCAGGGTTGCCAGTTCTGCAAAACAGAACTAGTCCAATAGCCAATCAAAAATAGCCCAAAACTCAAAATATATCACTCCCATACCTAAAATACATATTTTACAATCACTGTTGTGCGTTATGCACAATTTCAACTTGAAAATCACTATATAGTTGTGATCATAAGCATGGTAGGTCATAAGCTCAAATGCTTCCTACCATTGTCCCTCCATCGCAAAACAGCTAATTGCCTATTGGTTAACACATTAACCAATAGGCAATTAGCTGTTTAGACATTGTCTATGTTTACATGCAACCAAATTTTCCGTCAGTAATCGGATTGACGGCACAATCGGACTAAAAAGCCTACATGTAAACACCTTAAACGATCGGATTGAGCTCGATCCGAATGAAATTTCGATCGGATTGAAAGGGGTGGTTTATTCCTTATCTTATCTGATCGAGAGAACATGTAAACCAGGGGTGCCCAACCCTGCTCCTGCCGATCGACTGTCCTGCACAGTTCATCTCCAACCCTAATCAAACACACCTGCCTTTAATTTTCAAGTGATCCTGAAGACCTTAATTGGTTGCTTCAGGTGTGTTTGATTAGGGTTGGAGATAAACTGTGCAGGACAGTTGATCGGCAGGAGCAGGGTTACGCACCCTGATGTAAACACTTGATCGGATTGAAAACCAAAACTGAAAGGACTGCGCATGTGCAATGCCGTTGAACAGGGCTGGACTGGGACAAAAAATCGGCCCGGGCATTTTGGCCCAGACTGGCCCACTATATAACACAACCGAACTTTGCACGCCCTTGAATATGTATACCAACTCCTATTAAAACCACTAATGCCATAAGTGAATAGGAGTGAGTAAGGGCCGTTACATAGTCAACGCGAGCAACGCGAGCAAGCAACGCGAGCGACGCGAGCTACGC